TTGAAAATTAATATCTGTTGGGACTGTGGAACAACTGCCTCAGGGGTCCTTCTGCAGCTTTGGAAGCTGTCTGACTTTGAGAGGATGGGGGGTCCTTCAGCCCTCAGATGACCATGAGAGTCCCCCCTACCCACTTGTATGCTGTCTTTAGAAATTTTTGCTAATTAATTTTTTCTAGTCTGTATTAGGATTTCTGGGTCTGTTGAATTTTTGTTGCTTATTTTGCCTTCTAGTTAGTGCTAATAGTTTCCAGAAATAAAAGGAGAAAGTTTTAAATGTCCAAATTAATAAATTCACTTATTTCACTGAGCGAACCCATGTGGTGAGGGTCAGTCATGTTTCCAAGCACAAGAAGCCCAAAAATGATTAAGATCCAGTTACTCCCCTTGAGGGGCATACACTATATTGCAGAAGATAGACACAAAATGGCCTGTTTTGTGCTGTGGTAACTGTCACAGTTGGGTCTGAACAAGGCGTAATGTTGGAACAAATAATGTCATGGTTCATTCTACGTGGGGTAGGGCTCCCAGGGGGAAGAGAAACTTAATGAAAGGCAGCCAATCTGAAGCTTGGACGAGGGGCAGACATTTGCTCTGCAAGTAGAACGCATTTACGAAGTCACATGGACTTGAGTTTGCTTGGTACAGCTGATAGGACGATCTGGAGGTCAAATCAATAGGACTGAGTGATGGGGAGAAGTGGTCAGGGCAGAGAAGGGAGGTGTCTAGGATGGGCTCCAGGGCTTTTAGCTTGGATGTACCCCATGTCCTATCTGAATAATAGTAGCATCTTAACATGCGGTCTGGCCAAATCAAGGTGCTTGCTTGGAGGCTAGTCGGGGAGCCTAACCAGAAGTAATCAGAGGACCATGGTGGGCTGGGAGTGCAAGCCTGACTGCCTGCGGAAGGGCAGGAGACTTCCAGGGGGAGAGGATTTTTGAGCTGGGGCTTGAAGAAAGCCTCATGAGACAGAGAGGGGTGGAGGGTGGAGGGGAGAAATGTGGGTGGGAATAAAGGTGTCTCCGATCTGGGAAAAACCTTCATGATAGTTCAGAGGCACAAAGATCCTTGGTGGGCTCTGGGAAATAGCAGAGGGTGGCTGAAGCAAAAATATTTGGTGTTGGTGATTATTGTGTGCGTGTGTGTGCGTGCGTGCACAT